AGGTTTTGTCATCATCAGGTTATGTTAAACTTATATTAAAGTTTTTCTTCATTACCCATTCAAGCCGTCTCCAGCCATTATTAGTCTCAAAGTGGGTTCCTCGTCATCGAACCTTGATATTCTTATGCAATTTCTCATTGATCTCATGTGTCTGATCAGGTAGCCTATAACAACTGCCAATTAAAAACTTTCTACCCTTGAAACCCCTGATTGTAGCCTATATAATTTCAATCACTTGATTACCATGTTTTATATTGTTAATCCTAACAAGTTGCAGTTTATTCCTTGCATAAAGAGCATTACAACACTTTTATTAATCAATGTTCTTCAAATCTAAACAAGTTTCAATTATTCCATTTATCTGACAGGCTTCCATCTCAACTGAACCCATCCATTTTGTTCCTAATACTTTTGTATTGCAACTGAAAAAGTCAAACATTCCAAAATGTTTGAAAAGTATAGGGTGAATTACCATTCCAACAATACCTATTCAATACTCTATTTATTATAGTTATGTCAGAGTGACAGAGTCAAGATGGATAGATAAAAATAACTTCTCTAACCATCTGGCAAAATTAAACTGATTACAGTAATAAGCCAAATTCTGCATGGATAATAATCCACTAGTTAAGAATGACCTCATGTGATTATTACTCTAATAAATAAATGACTTTAAGAAAGTTTGCTTCTACATACTGTTAGAGTACCACTATTAGCTTTAATTTTTATTACACGACATTTCCATGAAATGAAGTTTAAACTTTTTTTAACAATTATAGCAATTAAGTATATAATTTGATATTTAAATAGTTGTAGAGGAGGGCAATTACAACAATTCTCTAACTTTTCTTACGAGTTTAATGCTAACACACAACAGTAATCTACAAACTGTCCAAAACAATCAATGGTGTAACTTTGGGGGAGGGGCAATTGTAACTTCTCCCCAATGTCAGGTATATCTAAGAACTTATGAGTGAAAATAAAGAATGGATAACAATATTTTAACCACACTATATATACTGTATCACTGCTGACAAGGCCTTTTCTCCAATACCCGGCCAGCTGGGATATGACAGGCACAGTAGTGGTTGAGTTGCTATTTATATTAATAAACTGTATGACCAACAAATTTTACAATGTGAGCTAAGACTAAGTTAGTGAAGTACAATTTTAAACAACTTTACATGAGTCATCTATAACTCAGAATTGGGAAAGGATTAAGAACACAATATTACTTAATTCAACACCAACTTTTTAATAGTGTTATTTTGCACGAATTAAATTTTCTCATCATTCAGAAGAATTGACAAACCAGGAAGCTAGTTGTAGAGTTAAGAGATATTTTCTTCATGCAGAACGAAAAACTTTCAATGTCAAAACAGTATTACAGTTACTCTTACACATAAAGCATAGACAGATATATTATTAAGTAAAAGACACAACAACAACTAAATGATCGAATTACCTCATCACAGGAAACATGGAAATTCCATGAGGCAACTTGCCGAGCCACACAGACAACTTTTTAACCTGTACATGCAAGTATACATGTGCCTTAACTGGGTGCAAGTTTTCTACGAATTGGGAACACTCACCGAATAGGCATTTTAGTTTTTACCCATTGTGTGTCCAGACTGAATGCTACACAGAAAATATAAACTTATAATTAAACCCATTTTAAATTTCATCGTGTTGCTAAATGCAACCCGCTGATTTGTTAGTTTTCTATTTCACATTTTCAAAAAGCACTACTTGTACTTAGACAAGTGAGAAAACATATCCGTTCAAAAACAACCGACTCCAGCCCTAAATTCTCACACCTAAGTTACGTCTCTAGAACTTATACTTTATAGTTATACTAATTATAAGTGATTCTAGACCGAAACTTCAACGGCGTAAGATATATAATAACATTAACAGTCTAGCTTGTCCCCGCTGTCTTTAAAGTTTAATCGCTCCATATTTATATAAAGAATGTCAACTCAAAAATAATAAACACTTTTGTTCTAGCTTTAAGAGTCCTTGTTTAAATTCAACATTACAAAAACTATAGCATACCTTGTAAGAGTCAGTAGCAAGAATCACTTTTTCCACCGGATACTCCCCAGCCATTTTAATATTAAACGAATTGCTAACCACGATCACTTCT